GAAAGTTAAATTGATTGGGCCAACAAGTCCATATTTTTGAGTTTTGAATAAAAATTTATGTTTCAAAATTGATAAATTATATATATATATATATATATATATATATACTTACAAAATAGGACGGCAAGATAAAATCCATTTTTTTCTAATCACTTTGGTACCCACACACAAGATATATTTCCTACACTATATATATATATACACATATATATGTATACTTACAAAATAGGACGGCAAGATAAAATCCATTTTTTTCTAATCACTTTGGTACCCACGCACAAGATATATTTCCTACACTTTGAAGATCACAACAAGAATTGTCTACATACAAATCACCGTAACATGACTTTAGACTATTGGAAAAGATAGGTGATTTGTGTGTTGATAAATTCTCAATAAATATAATTAATTAAATAACATACACATGAGAAGTCTACAATAACATAAACATAACTAATATAAGTGGAGAATTAGAAAACAATAATACAAATATAAGAAGAGGGTTACAAAAGCAAGTCTTAGGGAGTCGCTTCAATGACACTATTCTAAAGTCATGTTGCTTTCCCTTAGTGCGAGTACTTTCGGCACTATATAGCTTCAAGATAAAACTCGTGCGACTCACAGTCGATTTTCCTTCTATGAGCACCACCATAGAGAAATAAAGAACTAACCTTTATTTTGTTGTCAAAACTATAGAGATATAATTTAAAATATAGATGGAGTATTTTTGTATTCAAGTATTTAGAGTTGTGTTTCATGTAATGTTGAAATTATAAAATCTCCTCTCTCTTTATAATGTACATCTTAAACCTCCACACTAATGAGAATAAATTCAATTAAAGTGGAAGTTAAAACATATAATTATGACTTTAAATTTCTATTAAAATCTGAATATTAAAATAAAGGAAAATTGAAAATTAAAATCAATTTTAAGTTTTGAAAATTTAATACTTAAGTTACAACATTATAAATATGCCTTTCTTGGATTTCTTTTAATACTTTTTTTTTAATCATCTTGTTTCGCCAATTGTTAGCATTGATTTGAGAGGAAACAAAATATATGTATCAAATGTACACGATTTTCTTTCAACTTTACATCTCATTTGTTGTTTTATTAAAAAAAAAAAAAAAGAACAATATGGAAGATGTGTATTGATTTTACTTCTTGTATTTTTCTTGTCTATCAATTTTTCTTGTATTTTCCTTCTCCCACAATGTGTAGCTAAATTCATGGTTGAGATGAATGACATAATCTATTTTAAATCTTTAATTTCAATTTCCAAGATTCTCGTATTTAATTGTTGATGCAAGAAGATGGACTCCCCAATTAACAAGGGCATTTCAGACTTTTCACTCCCCAATAACTTGTTGAATTAATATTCTTTTTTTTTTCTTGTTTCCGGTTGGACACTATATATTTACTGTTGCTTATTTGGAAAAGAAGATTTGATATACACTTTTGCTTTGTACTGAATGAAATTGGATTTAGCTTCTGAAGAATTAGATCATTGAACTTCTCACCTAGTAGAGTTTATTTAAGTTATTGTGCTTGCTTCATCACATTTTGGTAGCGGAGTTCTAGACCGATTCAAGAGCTATGGCTGAACATGGAGCTAGTGATGTCCACACTAGCAATGGAGATGGCAATGTGTAGGCTTTTCGGGCATCCCAACTCAAATTGAAGCAAAAGGTTGATGCAATGTCTTACGAGTTTACTTCAAAGGGGAACTGAAAATCCCAGAAATTGGAGAAATAAAGCATCATAGATCTCATCCACAGTGAGAATACCATAATTTTAGGGTATAGTATCTCTAAAAGTCACATATGATAGTGACAATAAACATAATGATAAGTGTGTTTTTACACACTTATTTAGTTCACAAACATGACATAATTAAGAGCAAAACATTGGAATTGTGATTTAATTTCGGTTAATTTGTGTATCGTAGGACATATTGATGAACATGGTGAAATTCAGGAGAAAAGAGACAAAAAAAGGACTAAATTGGGGCAAAGTAAAAGTTCAAGGACTAAAGTGCAATTATTTAAAAGTTGACCCAATGGACACATCAAGTAATTGATCGAGCAAAGTACCAATTGGAGATCGTAATGGAACATTGGGACAACTAAAAACACGAACGGAGGTTAAGAAGTGGAGAAGTAAAGTTTGAGGACCAACATAACATAATTTGAAAGTTTGTTCTACTATGCGGTCGCATAGTAGAAACCCCTATGCAGTGGCGAACACCAAGGCAGGAAATTAATACGCCAAATTTCATAGACCTATGCGGTCGCATAGGTATATTCTGGGGGCCGATTCTATAGTTTTTTATCCGCGATAAAATTTTTATGGAAACTTAATCTATACGCGATATAAATATCCAAATCCATCAGAAAAGGGGAGAACGCATTGGGAGGCAAAAAAACCACATATTGGAGAAGATTTTGAGCTCAAGTAATGAAGAATTGCACGAGAATTTTCAAGATTTATCAAGTATTCATAATCCGGTGATGTTCTTTCTTCAAAATCTGATGTATTCTTATAGTTTATTAATGCTAGGCTAGATTTTCATGTACTAGGAGATCTATGTACCATGTGATTTGATCTTTAATTTTCTAGTTTTACAATTTGACGTTAAAAACACGTTTTGATTATTTTGAATGATTTATATGAACTTTTTGTTCCCGCAATTAAGGGCCCGTAATTGTGTGAGTTTAGGTGGCTTATTCTTGCATTCGAGAGAATTGGAATAGGTTTGACATAATATAAATCATCGTAGGATCTGATAGGGGATAGAAATATACCGCTATGTCCTACGTGAATTTTTAAATGTTCACAAGACCGCATGCATTTTTATATATGTACTTGTCATAGAAATATAGGCCGGTGGTATGTAAAAATAGGTTCGATACATTTTGAGAGAGAGTATTGGATAGATTAGGAGCACTGATTCATCAATAATTTAAGTGTGTTGTCACATTGTGAAATTAGGGTTTAAGGTGATAATTGAATGGAAAATCGTGATACTAGTGTTTTTAATTTCCATTGAATACAACCAATTTGTGCTCTAACTTATAATTTGCATTTTAATTCATTAAAATATCGTTTTGTATACTTGAGATCATTCAAATCTTCAATTTTGCATAATTAGGGTTTTGATAAAATTAGGGTTTTCTTTTTAAAATTAGGGTTTATTTAGGTAGATATTCATATTGAGTAATTTCGTTTCGATTAAGGCTACACTAGGTAAAATTGAACTACTCAATCTCCGTGGGATGATATTCGGACTCTAAAAATCCATTTTACTACTTGTTAACGAACCGTACACTTGCGGTGGTTTAAATCGAAAGAAATATTTTGTGAACAAGTTTTTGGCGCCGTTGCCGAGAATTGAGTATTCGTTTAATTTTATCTAAATTGGCACTAATTCGGACATCCATATTTACATTTCCTGTTATTTTGTTGTGTTTTATTTCAATTAATTTCATTTTGGTTTGTTCTAGTTATTATTTCATTTTAACATCTAAGCACTCCTATTAACTCTTCTCGCAGATTTGCATGCTAAGATCTGCTGAAGGAGAACTGACACCAGCCGATCCAGAAATCGAACGAACTTTCCAACGAAGGCAGCGAGAAAATAGAGAGGCACATCAACGAATGGCTAACGTGCAGAATAATCCAATTTTTCAGGCCAATGAAGAAGGGGCAGCAGATGAAGGAAATATGCTTGTGAGAGATTTCATGACCCCTCAGATAATTCAAAGCCAGTCGAGCATCATATATCCACCGTTTGGATAGCCGAACTTCCAACTGAAGACTAATGTGATACAATTATTCCAAAATGATCATCAATTCTATGGAAGGATTGAAGAGAATCCACAATAAGTTTCTCGCTTTCTGGAGATGTGCCAATACTTTAAATATCAAGAAATTTCAGCCGATGCAATAAGATTAAAGTTGTTCCTACATACACTATGCAACGAGGTAATTGAATGACTGGATTCGCAACCAATCGCAAGCATCACCACATGGAATGATCTAGTCCAAAAATTCTACACTAAGTTCTTCCCACTTGCTTAGATCACAAAGCTCAAGCACGACATCTCTGTTTTTCGCCAAGGTGACTTGAAAAATTTCGATGAAGCCTGGAATCGATTCAAGAATATGCTGCGAAAGTGTCCATACCATGGGATTAGCAAGGGACTTCAAGTCCAATACTTCTATGCGGGATTACTTCCAGCCTTTAAAAGCATTGTTGACTCATCATCGAACGGATCACTGTCCACAAAGAAAATTGATGAGGTACTGAAACTTTTCGAGACCATGCTCACCACTTCAGCTATGTGGACATCGGAACTAGAAGTTCAGAAGAAGACACCGAGGGTTTATAAAGTGGACATCTATTCTGCCTTGTTAGCAAAAATTGATTTATTATTTCACAAGGTGGAAAACATGACACAATCAGCTATCACAGCACAGTAAAAAAAGGCCAGTTGTGAAGAATGTGGAGCTGAGCATGTAACAACAGAATGTCCAATCTTGGTACAAGGAGCAGAGCAGGTAGATTTTGCTCAATGGGGACAGCGGCAACAAAATAACACATATGGCGAAACATTTAATCCGAGTTGGAAGAAGCATCCCAACTTCTCTTGGAGCAACCAAAATCAAAACAAGCCACAGGGACAATTTAAACAGCAAGAGAAGAAACCTCAGTTGGAAGAAATAATAGGAAAATTCATGGAGAAGGCTGAAGCTACTTCAGAACCAAAATGCAGCTATCAAAAATTTCGAAACTCGGGTGGGACAATTAGCCATAGCATTGACTGGCAGAGCACCGGGAAACTTGCCAAGTAACATGGAAATAAACCCGAAGGAGCATGCTAAGGCAATTACAACTCGAACTGGAAAGCAGCTACCAGAAATCCATGTAAAAAGGCTAGATTTAAATCAAGAAATAGAATCTCCAACTATAGAAAAACCTATAGAGCATGATGAATAGATGGATGAATCCACCCCAGCTAAAAAACTGGACAAAACACAGAGTAAAGCACCTGTTAACCCTTACAAACCTCCCATACCTTTTCCACAGAGGCTGGAAAAGCAGAAGTTGGAGCAGCAATGCAAGAAATTTTTTGAAGTTTTTAAGAAACTCCACATCAACATCCCACTCGCTGATGTATTATTCCAGATGCCTAGCTACTCAAAGTTCCTAAAGGACATACTATCAAATAAACACAAGTTAGGGGATCACGAAACAGTAATGCTAACAGAGGAATGCAGCGTCGGAATTCAGAAAAATCTCCCACAAAAATTAAAAGATCCAGGGAGTTTTACTGTTCCTTGCACTATTGGTGAAGTTCATTTTGATAAGGTTTTGTGTGATCTTGGTGCAAGTATTAATTTAATGTCTCTATCTGTTTTCAGGAAACTTGGCTTGGGAGAGGCTAAGGCGACTACTGTAATGCTACAGCTAGCTGACAGATCGTTAACACATCCAAGGGGAATAATTGAAGATGTGCTTGTCCAGGTGGAAAAATTTATATTCCCTACGGATTTCCTAATCTTGGACATGGAAGAAGACAAAGATATTCCATTGATACTGGGCAGACCATTTTTGGCAACAGGAAGAGCCTTGTTCAACGTTCAGAACGGGCAACTGATATTGAGATTGGAAGAAGAGTAGATCTCGTTTAATGTTTTCAAGGCAATGAAACTACCGACAAAGACAGACAGCTGTTTCCAAATCGATGTGATTGATACGGTGATCCAAGATTCCTTTTTACTACACAACCTATCAGATGCATATGAAGCTTGTATTGCACATTCGCAGTCAACGCAGTCTGATTCAATGGAGATGGAGACTTGTGCAAGGTTTTTGGATACCAACCCATCTTATACGCGAAAAAGGCACTTTGAGGAGCTTGGAACAGGACCTACGAAACCACTACCATCCATTCAGTAGCCATCGAAATTAGAACTCAAGTAGCTACCAGCACACCTTAGATATGCTTACTTGGGAAAATTATATATATTCCCTGTGATCATTTCAAACACAGTCAGCGAAGTGGAAGAAGAGAAACTGCTTAGGGTGCTTAGGGAGAATAAGATAGCAGTTGGATGGACCATAGCAGATATCAAAGGGATCAACCCCTCACTGTGCATGCATAAGATTCTCATGGAAGAGAATTTCCGGCCAACCATAGGAAGTCAGCGAAGGTTGAACCCAAATATGAAAGAAGTGGTCAGAGCAGAGGTACTCAAATTACTTGATGCTAGAATCATATATCCGATATCAGATAGTGCATGGACTAGCCCAGTTCAAGTGGTGCCAAAAAAGGAGGAATAACGATAGTGCCCAATGAGAAGAATGAGTTGATACCAACCAGAACAGTCACAGGATGGAGGGTTTGCATTGATTACCGCAAGCTCAATCCAGCAACAAGGAAAGATCACTTTCCCCTTCCGTTTATAGACCAAATGCTGGAGAGATTGACAAGCCACTCACATTACTACTTCCTCGATGGTTATTCGGGTTACAATCAGATACCAGTGGCACCAGACGATCAAGAGAAAACTACATTAACGTGCCCTTACGATACTTTCGCTTACCGCAGGATGCCTTTCGACCTTTGCAACGCCCCTGCCACTTTTCAATGTTGTACGATGGCAATTTTCTCAGACATGGTAGAGAAATTTATTGAGATATTTATGGATGACTTCTCGATCTTCGGGTCTTTGTTTGAGAGTGTTTGGAACACTTGAATCTGATATTACAAAGATGCAGGAAAACCAATTTAGTATTAAACTGGAAAAAATGTCATTTCATGGTGTAAGAGGGGATCGTACTTGGGCATCGGGTCTCAGCAAAAGGGATTGAGGTAGACAAAACAAAGATTCAAGTTATTGAAAAGTTACCACCACCAACATCAGTTAAAGAGGTTCACAGCTTCTTGGGACATGCTGGATTCTATAGGAGATTTATAAAAGATTTTTCAAAAATCACCAAGCCCCTCTGCAACCTGTTAATGAAGACGTGTCCTTCGAATTTAATGAGGAATGTCTAAAAGCTTTCAACACTTTGAAGGAGAAATGCATATCAGCGCCAGTAATTTTATCACCTGATTGGGAGTTACCTTTCGAGTTAATGTACGATGCTAGTGATCATGCTGTAGGTGCAATATTGGGACAACGAAAGAACAAGATTTTACATGTAATATATTACGCAAGCCGAACATTGAATGATGCCCAGATCAACTATGCGGCCACTGAGAAGGAGCTCTTGGCGGTGGTCTATGCCTTTGACAAATTCAGATCATATCTCGTAGGGTCTAAAGTCATAGTCTACACAGATCACGCTGCATTGAAGTATCTAATAACAAAGAAGGATGCCAAGCCAAGGTTAATCCGTTGGGTGTTACTGCTGCAAGAATTCGATATTGAGATTAGAGACAAGAAGGGCAGTGAAAATGTGGTAGTAGATCACCTATCGAGATTAGAACAAGAAGAGCTAGAAATGTCAGTGGAAATCAATGAAAATTTTCCAGAGGAGCAGATGTTCAGTGCAGAAAAAGCCCCATGGTATGCAGACATCGTCAATTATTTAGCTAGGTCAATCTCACCCCCAGATTATTTGAGTCACCAGAAGAAGAAGTTCTTTGCCGAGCTGAAATATTATTTTTGGGAAGATCCTATTCTTTATAGGCGAGGGGCTGATTAGATTGTGAGAATGTGTATACCTGAAGATGAAGTACCTGAAATTCTTGAGCATTGTCATTCATCTACTTATGCGGGACATATGAGGGCTTCAAAGACTGCAACTAATATTTTACAGTCAGGGTTCTATTGGCCTACATTATTCAGAAACACCTTTGAATATGTTAAGAGGTGTGATAGATGTCAACGCACTGGGAACATCTCAAGAAGGAATGAGATGCCACCGAACAGCATATTAGAACTAGAGATATTTGACGTCTGGGAAATCGATTTTATGGGATCGATTTTCCCCTTCATTTTCAAATCAGTACATCCTGGTAGTAGTTGATTATGTGTCAAAATGGGTAGAGGCCGTGGCATTGCCAACAAAAGATGCGAAAATGGTAATTGGGTTCTTGAAGAAATACATCTTCACTAGATATGGCACACCGCGGGCAATAATCAGTGATGGGGTAAACATTTTTGTAATCGCCAATTTGAGCAATTATTAAATAAATATGGGGTTAAACACCGAGTTGCAACCCCATATCATCCACAAACCTGCGGGCAAGTCGAAGTGTCCAATCGGCAACTGAAGAGAATATTAGAGGTCACAGTAAATTCATCCCGAAAAGACTAGTAAAAAAAGTTGGACAATGCATTGTGGGCATATAGGACAACATTCAAGACACTGATAGGCATGTCTCCATTCCGCCTAGTCTTTGGAAAAGCAAGCCACCTTCCATTGGAAATAGAACACCGGGCATACTGGGCTATGAAACAATTGAACATGGATTTGAAAGCTACCGGTGAAAAGCGTTTATTGCAACTCAATAAGTTAGATGAATTAAGAATGGAAGCATATGAAAACTTGAAGCTTATCAAAGAACCCACCAAAAGGTGGCATGATCTACACATTCAGAGACGAGATTTCGAGGTAGGGCAGAAAGTCCTGTTATATAACTCAAGGCTAAAGCTTTTCCTTGGAAAATTAAGATCAAGGTGGTTGGGCCCCTATACTGTCACTAAAGTTCTGCCATATGGAGCTATACAGGTCAGCCATGAAACAAAAGGAACATTTACAGTTAATGAGCAAAGACTGAAACACTACTGGGGCAGGTTCTCAAAACAAAAGTCCACAGTTCAACTCGGGACACCAGAATGAAGCACATTCAGGAAAGTCGAGCTAATGACTATAGACTAGTGCTGGGTGGGAGGCCACCCACTGTATTATTTTCATTACTTTTAATTTTTGCATTAGCTTAGAAAATTTTAATTTTCATGTTTGATTTTTTTTAGGCTTAGATCATCGATCATCCATGCATGTCAATCGAGTCTAAGCACTACCCACACAGGTCCCTATTCATCGACCAGAAGTTAGGAATGATTGATTTAGTGTTTAGGTGATTGGATGTGATCATCACACATTTCGAGGCAGAGAGTGTGTTTTCAAAGTATTTCGGGATCAAAGGGTGACTTCAATTTTAAAAAGTGATTTTGGAACTAAGCCAATGACCTACACGTGCCCCCACATGGTCTAATGTGTTTTGATAAATTTTGGGGGACGATAAAAGGCCGGTTCGAAGTCACAAGTTGAAAAACCAAGAATTTGGGGGAAAATTTGGTCAAGGTCGAATTTTGGGGAATCAATTGCGTTCTTAATAAAAATTAAAAAAAAATTGATTATGTCTATGAGGTCGCATAGGCATATAGTCTATGCAGACGCATAGACTCAATAAGCAAAATTAAGGGGCCAAATTTTTTGTTCTATGCGGCCGCATAAAAGAGGCCAGTTACGGGTTTTAACCCTTAACTTGGTCTTTCAACTCATTCTTCCCCAACTTTTGCACAAGCCCTAGACTCAAGATTGCTCCTATTCCACGTCCAAATTAAAGCCAAGTCACATTAGATTCTCCTAAGTGCACACAACAAGAATCAAACACTTGGGAAAAACCACAAAAACACAACACTAACAAGTTTCAAAGGTATGAAATTCATCCCCTTTCACGTCCTATGCTCGGTGTGAGGTTATTTTCAATTTATTTTTGTAAATTTAGGAGAATGGGCTTAGGTAGATGTTGGTTTAAGAATTTGATTATGTTTTGTGCTCTCTATGGATTAACTTCATTCATCCATTTCTCCAATTACTATGACTTTTGGATTGTGCACACCATGTGTTCGATAAAATGCCTAAGCTAAAATTCTATTACATTTTTGTGCATCTAGCGTGGTATGTGATTGGTGATTGAATGGATTACCTTTTTGTGATGAATTAGCACACAATTTGAATTAGAAAGCACCAACACCCAACATCAACACACATGCACACGGCTAGGTCACGGCAAGTCACGGCACCCTATGTTCCCTACTTTACACCATAATTTGACACACCAAACGAAATCCAATTGATTTGAAAATTGAGTATGTGTTAGACCTCATTGAATACTTCCCTATGCCTAGAGATTGCCCTAGAAAAATTCAATATTTCTCGACGATGCCTAACGTTGAAAGTGCGCACTCGATCATGGATCAAATTTTCATAAATGTGCATGTTTGGGTCAAATTTTGCTAGTTTTTCCTATTGGCGCAATATTTCTATCTTGAATATCATGTTTTGAATATTGTACACCAATGTGTTATACATGCATGTTGAAGCAAGTTTGGGAAATTTGTGAAATATGTGCCTTGCTGATCTCATTCCATTTATCGTTTTTCAACAAGAAGTTTAATGAATGCTATTTTATAACTTTGCAGGATGCCTCCAAAACGAACCTCGAAAGGGAAAGAAAAAGTTGGCTCATCTTTTGAAATAGCCCGTACTCGAGTTCTTGAAGGTGGGATACGAAGATTTTTTAAATTTCGAGACAGTAGCCCGCTATGAAAACATTGTGAGTCGGTGGATAGTAACACCAGAGTGGGCGGTTAAATTAGAGGATTTTCCAGATTTTGAGTTGATCACTTTGATGGATAACTGTGGGTGGGCAAAGGTAG